GGAGAGTGCACTGTGGTGACTAAGTGCGGAGGCACTACACATTATTCAAATGTACAAATTCACACAGGTGTTTCAAGTTAATGTTATATTTGCAAATCACTACTTGAACGACTTTAATTCATTTTAACCTGTATCTTGTTTTATTTACAGTACATTTGTAGAATTGAAAATTCGAGTTAGCGCACTAGATCAGAGAGCGCCATTTGCATCAATTCGCGTGCGCACTTTCAGTGCCCTGACACCACTGTCACTTGCACTTACAGCGCAGTATTTCTGTGCTGGCCAGTGTTTTAGATTAGCTAAGAAATTACCTTTTCCTAAGAAGCTATCGCCACCTGTAGAGGCTCATNACTGTCGCCATCTGTAGAGGCTCATCAACACCTGAGCACAATTAGTTACATTGTAGCCATTGGCAACTCACCACTCACCTACCAGTGCACAGAGGAGACTTTCACTTCAGGTGAGCCACTGAAAAGCAGAACGATGTCAAGGATGATCAGAAGAGAAGACTTGTTTGAATTGGTGAGCCAACTACCACAACCACCGTATTACGCTGAACTACTACCAGAGGAGCCGAGAAGCTATCAACTAATGAGTTGTAGGAGTAGCAGTGAAGACTAGTAGCTACCACGGCCCGTTGTTTCCCCGTTGACCAATTAAAGGGGAAGAAAAAGGAAAGAAACTCTGCCGCTAGGGGAAGGAAGCAAGCGATGTTTTTGTTTACATTTTTTGTGAATGATTACAGCGTTTCGTGTCTGGAACTGAGTGCCTGTCCCAAGCCAGGATAAAAGAGGAGGCTTTGGTGATATGGGCTGACATCCCACTCTAGTAAAAAAACCTTTGTTAAGAAAAAACACAACCAAATCAACAACCGGACTGAAATCACGGACAATGGCCCTTGCTCGATTAACGGAACCAAATGTTTTCGCTTTGGAGCTTGGAATTTGAGGTCAATCTCTACTGGTGGGATGCGACAACTTGAGAAGGCTTTACTCGATTACAAGTGCGTAGTAACGGCACTGCAAGAGACAAGAGTGCCTGAAAGAGTTATGAGGATCGGCAACAACTTCACGCTCTTCAATAGCAATGTGACTGCTTCAAGATGGACCTCTGGTATTGGTTTTGCAATTGCCAACAAAGTCATGTCGTCGGTAGTGAGATGGGTCCCGGTGAACGATCGACTTTGCCTGATTGTTTTTCGAGCAAAACCTGTCAACATTAGCATCATTAATTGTCACGCTCCAACAGAGGAAGCAGAAGAAGAGGACAAAAACTCTTTCTACACTGACCTGGAAAAACTTTACGACAATCAGTCCGCAAACACAGTTAGGCTGGTAGTCGGAGACTTCAACGCCAAAGTTGGCCAGGAAACAGAGTATAGACCGACGATTGGACCAGAGAGCCTGCATGAGGAGTGCAACGAGAATGGCATGCTCTTGGTCAATTTCGCGACAATGGAAGAGATGATTGTCAGCAGCACCTTCTTTCCTCGTAGATTGTTCCACAAAAGCACATGGGTATCACCAGATGGAAGAACAGTGAACCAGATTGACCATGTGCTGGTGGACAAAAGGCACAAAAGTAGTGTGGAAAATGTGCGCACTTTCAGAGGAGCAGACATGAGCTCAAACCATTTTCTCGTCGTTGTAAAGATTAGAGTCAAGCTCTCAACGAAATGGAATAAGCGACGAAAAAAAAGGAATGCAAGTTGACAAGGGAAGGCTTGGCATTGAAGAAATCCGAGCAAAGTACCAGGACCGGGCAGCAGCTTATCTCAAAGGAACTTCAGCACTGACAAACGACGTGGACAATTGTTGGACAAACCTTTGCAATGCAGTAACCAAAAGTGCTACTCTGGTGATGGGAGACGTCCAGTACAAGAAGAGGAAGCCATGGTTTGATCTTTGGAAAATATTGAGAAAATTGGGCATTCCAATGAAATACGTCCGACTAATCCAGGAGTGCAATGAGCACACTAAATGTCAAGTTCGTTTTGGTGGCCAGTTGTCAGAAAGTTTTGACGTTGAAAATAGTTTAAGGCAAGGAGATCCACTGGCACCGACGCTTTTCAACTTGGCACTGGAAAGAGTGCGGCAAAAGCTTGGAAGAATGAGGGAGATGGAGGTGACGGGCACTGACACACTACTAGCATTTGCCGATGACGTCGTCATTGTCCGAGAAACAGCGGACCAGGTGAAGGACGACACTGCGCGGTTTATGGTCAAAGCCAGAAAAGTTGGGCTAATATTTAATGATGAGAAAACCAAATACATGGTCATATCTTGCCGACAACACTGGCCAAGCACAATTTCAGTTGACGACCACACCTTCCAACGCGTAGACTCCTTCAAATACTTGGGATCAATCATCTTGAGCAGAAGTGAAGTGGCAAAGGAAGTGAATCAGCAAATGCTAAGTGCAAGTCGTGCGCAGTACAGCATGGATGACTTGTTGAAATCAAAGCTGATATCCCAACGCAATAAGTGCCACCTCTACTTGACCTTCATCAGACCAATATTGATATATGGATGCGAGACCTGGGCGACAACACTGACCATTGAAGAACTTTGGACCGGTCTTTAATGGAACAAAAAACAGATGGGAAAAGAGGTCCAAAAAAGAGCTGTACCAACGTTTTGCCAAACCAGACGTCGTGCAGGTGATGAAAAAAGAGACTTCAATGGCTAAGACATGTATTGCGGGCTGAGGGCTCCTTGATAAAAAGAGCCTTTGAGGAATGCCCGGCAGGAAGACGACCAGTAGGGAGGCCAAGGACAAAATGGAAAGATGTTGTCGTTAGAAACATGAAAGAAGCCGATGCGAGCGCAACCTTTGTGGACGCCACTAACAGAGATAGATGGACCCAAATTTGTGATTTTTACTTGCGTTGTTATTAATTATGTTTCTGCCATGAGCCTAAATGGCTATACAAGTGCAATAAATGATGACTGGAATCGAAAAAAAGAAACAGTTGTTCTTACTTTTTACTCGCTCCAGCATGTCAAAGGAAATTAACATTCTACTCTTTGGGCAGACGGGCGCCGGCAAGTCGACGACACTGAATGCGCTGGCCAACTACTTTCGTTGTAGCACCTTCAATGAGGCGCTCGAGACGATTGAGCAGCTGAACGAGGTGATCCCCTCGCAGTTCACCCTGCCGCACCCTGAGACGGGCGAGTCGGTGACCATCAGGTCGAACTGCGTCGATGCAAATGCCAGTGCAAATGAGTGCAGCGAGGTGGGCGCCTCTGCGACCATCCACCCCAACGGGTACCTTTTTCCATTTGGCGGGAACGTCCTGCGCATCATCGACACGCCCGGCATTGGCGACACCGCCGGCACTGAGCAGGACCGCCGCAACTTTGAGGGCATCCTCACCTACCTGCAGATGCTCAAGTCACTGCACGGCATCATCTTCATCGTCAGCGGCACTGACAAGCGCAAGACCACCTTCTTCCAGTACTGCATCACACAGCTGATGACATACCTTCACAAGAGTGTCGTGCAGAACATTGTCTTCTGTTTCACCTGCAGTCAGATCTTCGAGGCACCTTTGGCCCGGGGACGGTTTTGACGTGTTGAAGGCCTTTTTTGAGAAGGAGATCTCCAAAGTGGGCATCCGCCTGGAGAAAGGTCAAAACGTCTTTTTCATTGAGAGTGACGCCTACCGCCTGTTGGCGGCAAAGAAGCAAGGCTACGAGTGGAAGCCGATTCAGAAGATGCTCTGCAAAGAAAGCTGGAACTACTCGGTAAAACAGTGCGTTGCCATGTTCACCACCATTCAGACGTTCACGCCGCACGACCTTAATGACACCATCTTGCTGAACAACACAAAAAAGTCATCTCAGAGCTGGTGGAGCCCATCATCCGCCTGACGCAAAACATTGAGAAGAACATTGCCGAAATTGAAAAAAACAAAAAAAAGCTGAATCGAGCCAACACCACCCGAGAGGACCTGAAGGAGTTTGTAGAGATGGAGGTGGAAGATCTAGAGAAACAGTTCACCGACACTCCGAAGATGGTGTGCACTAACTCCAGTTGTCCCCAAAATGTTTTTTGTGGTCACAAGAAAGCCAGCTACAGTACGGTGTGCTGCCAACCGTGCAACTGCTATCACTTTACGGACACCATTCTTGGTGGGTGTTAATAGAAGTTTTTTACCAAAACCCGTTTTTGTGACCAATTTTTTGTATTTAATTTTAGATGAAATTTTGAAAGCTTTTTGTTCTGCAATAGCGTTTAAGCTTTCTGAGTTTTCTTTTGTTTGTCAATGATGCACCTGCAAAACCTCTGATCATGAGGCAATTTCTTATGAGTACGTGAAAATTAGACGCAAAGTAGTGAATGAAAACGTCAAAAAGCTGCTCAGTGAGACAAACGACATGATTGAACAAAAAGAGCGTTTGCTTAAAAACTTTAACGATGAAGTGCAAAATATGAAACGGGAACTTGAAACAATTGAGGACATTGAAGCTCAATTTGATTATTTTTTGGCCACAAACTCTTTGTTTGTTAGTTAATAATATTGATTGTTAAATCAATTTACCAATAATGATTTGTTTTGTAAAAAACTTTTAGAGTGAAAAGAACTATTTTCAGAACTGTGTGACAAAACTTATTAGCTAAGAAACACTAAAAGAAAACTATGCAAACATTAACAGTCTTTTTCTTTTGGGAGAAAAACACAATGAGAAAGTAAACAAATTAAAAACTAAAATTTCAAATGGACAAAAAAGACCAATCACAGCCAGTGATATTTTATCAACACAGAAAAAACTGTTGACTTTAAATCTTAATGGTACTTTCTTTGGTAAAGTTTTAAAAACAAATGAAAAATGCAGGATCAGTACAAACAGCGAGAAAAACGTGTAAATATTGCACCAATTTCCAAAAACGTTTTTGTTCAATTGTTTTTAAAAATAATTTTTCATTCTGCTAAAAATGCTTTATCATGGAAATAGATGTAAACTCATATTATGATGTTGTAGTGTAAAATTTGATGTAATTTTTGAACAATTAAGGCCAGACAAGGAGACAAGCTGCGTTTTTTCGGCTCCAGCAGTTTTCTATAAGAAAAACTCAAAATTTTCGGTTTACGATATCTCGGCCAATTCTTAAGTTAAAATTACAATTTTGGTTTTATATTAAAGCTAACGACTTGGCCGAGAGAGTTACCAATCTGAATATTTTTAAACGTTTTCAAACTTTTTCAATTGCAAGTTAAGCCCAGAAAAAGTATGATTTTTAGCATTGTTCAAGACTCAACTTCCAATTAAAAAAGTTTGGAAACGTTTAAAAATATTCTGATTGGTAACTCCCTCGGCAAAATTGTAAACTTTAATATAAAACCAAAATTGTAATTTTAACTTAAGAATTGGCCGAGATATCGTAAACCGAAAATCTCATACAATTTTGGTAAACAATGCATTGCACTGAGTGCAGCGCCGCCTGTCTCCTTGTCTGGCCTTAAATAAACATAAAAACTGTTTGAATTAAATTTTAAATAAAAAGTGACGACAAATTCGCCCCAAAATTTTAACCTAAACCCATTAAGTGTTACCAACTGCAAGCAGACACACTGGACGCTTTCAAGGGTAGCCACACTTGTTTGCCGCGCACTGTCCTGGCTGCATCGACCACCGTCATTACCACCAGGACAGTGCAGTAGAGTTGTGTCCGACCATGACTTCGACTAGCAACCATTTCCGCCTATCAATGCTTATATTTTGATTTTTTCTCACCAATTTTGAAGTTCATCGATGATTAGGACTGTTCTCTGCTGATTCAGTCATCGACTACTTGAGCATTGGCACCTGCCAGTTTGAAGACAACTGAACATTCAGACTGCACTCTTTGCACTCCACCCACTCATTTGCACTTGTAGTGCACGAGCCACTACACACTGTTTATTTATTTTGTTCTTTCTCCCTGTACCCTTCTTTTGTATCACTTTCTAATAAAAAACATTTAAAAATTTGCCATTAAAAATTTAGAAAAACCGTTTGCTAGTGTTCAGGTTTTTGAATGCTCGCACCAGTCTCCTCACAAAGACTCGTGCACCTTAAACGACTGCCTTTTTTAAGGGGAAACTCAATTTACTGAAAGTGGGCTTTTCTGGGCAGTTTACAAAACATGTGTTTTATTAAGTATCAATGGGGCTTGCTTACGGTTTTCAGGTATTATTATCTTAAAAACTACTAAACAGATTATGTTGATGTAAAAAACAAAAATAAAGTTAAAAACTTAATCTAAACTTCTGTAGTTAAATATTTGGATAAAATGTAGTAAAAATAATTGCAGCAGTTGTTAGATGCTTATTTTGACATTTAAATTTTTCTAATTTCATCAAACTCAAAAATTTGTTTACAAAAATTTTAATTAAGTTTAGTAGCGGCCTAGTAACTAATCTCTACTGTTTTTAATTTTTAATTTTGTTTTTACATCAACATAATCTGTTTAGCAATTTTTGAGATAAATGTATCTGAAAATCGTAAACAAGCTTCATTGAAACTCATTGAAACAGTTGTTTTTAGATGGCGCAGAAAAGCCAACTTTTTAGTAAATCGAGTTTAGCCTTATTACTAGATATTATAATAAAACCTTTATCAAGTGACTTAATTAATCTTTTTTGTGTGTGAAAAACGATTCAGTTTGCAATGTTAACTCCTCGATTGAGTTTAATGTTTTTTTATTGATGTAATTAAATTTTCAA